ATAATGATCACTGTAATGGCCTGTAATGATGATCACTGTAATGGTGATCACTGTAATGGTTTGTTATATTAATCACTGTAATAGCCTATTATAGTGGTCACTTTAATGGCTTGTTATAATGATAACTGTAATGACCTGTAATGATGATCACTGTAATGGCTTGTTATAATGATCACTGTAATAGCCTGTTATAATGATCACTGTAATAGCTTGTTATATAAATCACTGTAATGGCTTGTTATAATGATAACTGTAATGGTGATCACTGTAATGGCTTGTTACATTAATCACTGTAATAGCCTGTTATAATTATCACTGAAATGGTGATCACTGAAATGGTGATCACTGTAATGGTGATCACTGTAATGATGATCACTGTTATGGTGATCACTGTAATGGCTTGTTATAATTATCACTGTAATGGCTTGTTATAATGATCACTGTTATGACCTGTAATGATGATAACTGTAATAGCCTGTTATAATCATAACTGTAATGGTGATCACTGAAATGGTGATCACTGTAATGGTGATCACTGTAATGACCTGTAATGATGATCACTGTAATGATGATCACTGTAATGACCTGATATAATTATCACTGTAATAGCCTCTTATAATGATCACTTTTATGACCTGTAATGATGATCACTGAAATAGCCTGTTATAATGATCACTGTAATGATGATCACTGTAATGGTGATCACTGTAATGACCTGATATAATTATCACTGTAATAGCCTCTTATAATGATCACTCTTATGACCTGTAATGATGATCACTGAAATAGCCTGTTATAATGATCATTGTAATGATGATCACTGTAATGGTGATCACTGTAATGGCTTGTTATATTAATCACTGTAATAGCCTGTTATATTAATCACTGTAATGGCTTGTTATAATGATCACTGTAATGGTGATCACTGTAATGACCTGTAATGATGATCACTGAAATGGTGATCACTGTAATGGCTTGTTATATTCATCACTGTAATAGCCTCTTATAATGATCACTTTTATGACCTGTAATGATGATCACTGAAATAGCCTGTTATAATGATCACTGTAATGGTGATCACTGAAATGGTGATCACTGTAATGGTGATCACTGTATTGACCTGTAATGATGATCACTGTAATGGATTGTTATATTAATCACTGTAATAGCCTGTTATAATTATCATTGAAATGGCCTGTTATAATGTAACTGTAATGACATGTTAGCGATCATTTTAACAGGCCATTACAGGTCTCGTTATAATAGGCAATTACCGTTACCAATATAACAGGCCGTTACAGTTATCAATATAACAGGCCATAACAGTGATCANAGAACAGGCCGTTACAGTTATCAATATAACAGGCCATAACAGTGATCACCATTACAGCTATCATTATAACAGGCCATTACAGTGATCACCATTACAGTGATCATCAGTGATCACTGTAATGGCTTGTTATATCATACACTGTAATAGCCTGTTATAATGATCACTGTAATGGTGATCACTGTAATGGCCTGTAATAATGATAATTGTAATGACCTGTAATGATTATCACTGTAATGACCTGTAATGGTGATTTGGGGATTTACTTTAGTGTCCTCTATTTGGGGACACAACGACCAAAATAATTCTGCTGCACCCATAGCAATATATTGAATTTTTATCTTTGTGTCTACTTCTAACTGCCTTTTATTTCCTAGCGCCTTGCTTGGCAACACCTCGCATTTGACCTTAATGTTTAGCGTTCGCCCCAGTGAGGAAGGCAATGGGTTGTGTTCCCAGGCCGGGACATACCAAAGTCCTTATTAATGGTAGTGATTGTTTCCTGCTTAACGTTCAGCATTTAGAGGAATTGATCACTGTAATGACCTGTAATGATGATCACTGTAATGACCTGTGATGATGATCACTGTAATGGCCTGTAATGATGATCAATGTAATGACATGTAATGATAGTCACTGTAATGACGTGTAATGGGGATCCCTGTAATGACGTGTAATGATAGTCACTGTAATGAAGTTCAATGATGATCACTGTAATGACCTGTAATGATGATCACTGTAATTACCTGTGATGATGATCACTGTAATGACGTGAAATGATGATCACTGCACTGTAATGATGATCACTGTAATTACCTGTGATGATGATCACTGTAATGGCCTGTTATAGTGGTCACTGTAATGACCTGTAATGATGATCACTGATAGTGGTCACTGTAATGACCTGTAATGATGATCAATGTAATGACATTGTAATGACGTGTACTGATGATCACTGTAATGACGTTTAATGGTGATAACTGTTTATGACCTGTAATAATGATCATTGCAATGACGTGTAATGATTATCACTTTATAATGATCACTTTTATGACCTGTAATGATGATCACTGAAATGGCCTGTTATAATGATCACTGTAATGGTGATCACTGTAATGGTGATCACTGTAATGACGTGTAATGATGATCACTGTAATGACGTGTAATGGTGATCCCTGTAGTGACGTATATTGATGATCATTGTAATGACGTGTACTGATGATCACTGAAATGACGTGTGATGATGATCACTGAAATGACGTGTAATGATGATCACTGTAATGACGTGTTATGATGATCATTGTTATGACGTGTTATGATGATCACTGTAATGACGTGTAATGATGATCACTGTAATGACGCGTAATTATGATCACTGTAATGACGTGTTATGATGATCACTGTAATGACGTGTAATAATAGTCACTGTAATGAAGTTCAATGATGATCACTGTTATGACGTGTAATGATGATCATTGTTATGACCTGTAATAATGATCATTGCAATGACGTGTAATGATTATCACTGTAATGGCGTGTAATGATGATCACTGTAATGATCTGTAATGATGATCACTGTAATGACATGTAATGATGATCAATATGATGATCACTGTAATGACGTGTAATGGTGATCACTGTAATGAAGTGTTATGATGATCATTGTAATGACGTGTAATGATTATCACTGTAATGACGTGTAATAATAATCACTGTTATGACGGGTAATGGTGATCATTGTAATGACGTGTAATGATGATCACTGTATGGCGTGTAATGGTGATTCCTGTAATGACGTGTAATGATGATCATTGTTATGACCTGTAATAATGATCATTGCAATGACCTGTAATGATTATCACTGTAATGACGTGTAATGATGATCACTGCATTGACCTGTAATACTGATTACTGTCACGACGTGTAATGATGATCACTGTAATGACGTGTAATGGTGATTCCTGTAATGACGTGTAATGATGATCATTGTAATTCTTGTTATGATGATCACTGTAATGACCTTTAATGATGATCACTGCAATGACCTTTAATGATGATCACTGTAATGACCTGTAATGATGATCACTGTAATGACCTGTAATGATGATCACTGTAATGACGTGTAATGATGATCACTGTAATTCTTGTTATGATGATCACTGTAATGACCTTTAATGATGATCACTGTAATGACCTTTAATGATGATCACTGTAATGACCTGTAATGATGATCACTGTAATGACGTGTAATGATGATCACTGTAATTCTTGTTATGATGATCACTGTAATGACCTTTAATGATGATCACTGTAATGACCTTTAATGATGATCACTGTAATGACCTGTAATGATGATCAATGTAATGACGTGTAATGATGATCACTGTAATGACATGTCATGATGATCACTGTAATGACCTGTAATGATGATCAATGTAATGACCTTTCATGATGATCAATGTCATGACATGTAATGATGATCAATGTAATGACCTGTAATGATGATCAATGTAATGACATGTAATGATGATCACTATGATGATCACTGTAATGACGTGTAATGGTAATCACTGTAATGAAGTGTAATGATGATCATTGTAATGACGTGTAATGATGATCACTGTAATGACGTGTAATAATGATCACTGTAATGACGTGTAATGGTGATCCCTGTAATGACGTTTAATGATGATCACTGTAATGACGTGTAATGGTGATCCCTGTAATGACGTGTTATGATGATCACTGTAATGACGTGTAATGATAGTCACTGTAATGACGTTCAATGATGATCATTGCAATGACGTGTAATGATGATCACTGAAATGACGTGTAATGATGATCACTGTAATGACGTGTAATGATGATCACTGTAATGACGCGTAATTATGATCACTGTAATGACGTGTTATGATGATCACTGTAATGACGTGTAATAATGATCATTGTAATGACGTGTAATGATGATCACTGTAATGACGTTTAATGGTGATAACTGTAATGACGTGTAATGATGATCACTGTATTGACCTGTAATACTGATTACTGTCATGACGTGTAATGATGATCACTGTAATGACGTTTAATGGTGATCACTGTTATGACGTGTAATGATGTTTTGTAAGACCAAGAAGAGTGAACTTTCCATTTACTGATTCACAATTTTCCCTGTCAAAGTTAGTAATGCTTGCCTTTGTGACTAACTTTTTAGACAGGCTAATCCTGTTCTAGACATTTGGGACACGAAAATATAATGGTTTGCCTATAGAATTGTTGATATCTTTGGGTATTTATATTCACGAATTCGCATATTATTCCTATTTTGTGCATATACACACAAAAAAATGTCCCTTTTCGAATGCCTATAGCTTTGCCAAAACACAAACTAATTACGAATCAGAAAGTGCATCAGAAAGAGAATCCAACCAGAATTTGATGAAAAACAAGAAACAATCATAACGACATAAGCGATTTTGTGCCGACATCGATGACATCATCATAAAACTGTAATGATTTTCCAAGATGGTGGACATGAAAGAAATGGGAAATCCTTAACATTAATGAACCTAAAAATGAATATTTGAATCATATGAAAATAAAAACTTTATATATTTTACAACAATTATTAAACACATCATTCATCTCATAATAATCAGTCTTCTTAGCCCGAATGTTCGCACGCGTGGTCGTATTATTGGAGGAAACTGGAGTACTCGGAGAAAACTCACGTGGTCGGGTAGGTAACCCATACCTTCTCATATTCGAAATATTCACATGGACAAATACATTCGTGTTATACAATATGTTTGAGAAATGAACGTCCGTCTGGAAGGTATCTTTGTAATATAAAATAGGACATGTACTTATCATTTGAATATTTTGCATAATTATAGTAAAACGAGTCTCGAAAATCCACCCACCAACGTTCTAAACAAAGCTGATTAAATTCTGAGACGACTGAATCATTATGACATCATGTTTAGAAATAGGTGGTATAGTAGGGCACCGTTGTAGAAATATCAACGAGTCTGAACTGTGTTCCATTGATAAATATATTAGAATTCGGATTGTATGCATTTATTAATCATGCCTTCTCTACATTACCGCAGATCGGAGTGTGGTTTAGTGGTATAATAACAGCTAATGTCATAAGACGACGGCAGATAGGGGAGATGTCGCAGAAGGGAAAAGATCATCATAGGACGATGGCAGCTAGGGGAGATGCCGCGGAAAGGAAGATCATCATAGGACGACGGCAGCTAGGGGAGATGCCGCGGAAAAGAAGATCATCATAAGACGACGGCAGATAGGGGAGATGCCGCGGAAAGGAAATTCATCATAAGACGACGGCAGCTAGGGGAGATGCCGTGGAAAGGAAATTCATCATAAGACGACGGCAGCTAGGGGAGATGTCGCGGAAAGGAAAATCATCATAGGACGACGGCAGCTAGGGGAGATGTCGCGGAAAGGAAGATCATCATAAGACGACGGCAGCTAGGGGAGATGTCGCGGAAAGGAAAATCAGAGAAGTGAGCAAGAAAATACATAAATCAAAGAGTTGCAATAGATCGGCGTATCAGTTTTGATTTCTTCCATGACTTCTGACAAAACAGATAAAAACCGGATTCCGGTGGATGTCCCAAAACGAGTAACCCTTTACGACATGAAGTGAACTACAGGAGGACTAATCTTTCATCGAACCTGTAGGGGACAATAACGTTGATACAATGTAACATAACGTAGATACAATGTAACATAACGTAGGTACAATGTAACATAACGTAGATAATATGTAACATAACGTAGATACAATGTAACATAATATAGATAAAATATAACATAACGTAGATACAATGTAACATAACGTAGATACAATGTAACATAACGTAGATACAATGTAACATAACGTAGATACAATGTAACATAACGTAGATACAATGTAACATAACGTAGATACAATGTAACATAACGTAGATACAATGTAACATAACGTAGATACAATGTAACATAACGTAGATACAATGTAACATAACGTAGATACAATGTAACATAACGTAGATACAATGTAACATAACGTAGATACAATGTAACATAACGTAGATACAATGTAACATAACGTAGATACAATGTAACATAACGTAGATACAATGTAACATAACGTAGATACAATGTAACATAACGTAGATACAATGTAACATAACGTAGATACAATGTAACATAACGTAGATACAATGTAACATAACGTAGATACAATGTAACATAACGTAGATACAATGTAACATAACGTAGATACAATGTAACATAACGTAGATACAATGTAACATAACGTAGATACAATGTAACATAACGTAGATACAATGTAACATAACGTAGATACAATGTAACATAACGTAGATACAATGTAACATAACGTAGATACAATGTAACATAACGTAGATACAATGTAACATAACGTAGATACAATGTAACATAACGTAGATACAATGTAACATAACGTAGATACAATGTAACATAACGTAGATACAATGTAACATAACGTAGATACAATGTAACATAACGTAGATACAATGTAACATAACGTAGATACAATGTAACATAACGTAGATACAATGTAACATAACGTAGATACAATGTAACATAACGTAGATACAATGTAACATAACGTAGATACAATGTAACATAACGTAGATACAATGTAACATAACGTAGATACAATGTAACATAACGTAGATACAATGTAACATAACGTAGATACAATGTAACATAACGTAGATACAATGTAACATAACGTAGATACAATGTAACATAACGTAGATACAATGTAACATAACGTAGATACAATGTAACATAACGTAGATACAATGTAACATAACGTAGATACAATGTAACATAACGTAGATACAATGTAACATGACGTATAGATACAATGTAACATAACGTAGATACAATGTAACATAACGTAGATACAATGTAACATAACGTAGATACAATGTAACATCACGTAGATACAATGTAACATAACGTAGGTACAATGTAACATAACGTAGATACAATGTAGCATCACGTTTATACAATGTAACATAATGTTATGAAGCATATCACAAAATAAACCCAGTCATGTCTCAATAGTCTAACTAATTCTGGTCACGGCTCAAAGTGACCTGATTATGAATCAAGCTTACAGAATGCGGGTTCATGAATGAATATCAGGGGGAAAACTACGATCGTCAATTAACAGTATTTTTTGAAATTTCTTCCAAACAAATGTGCATCTTATGCAAAAAAGAAAATGTAGAAAAGAAATATATAAACAAGAGAAACCGTCTGAAAATGAATTATACTGAATAAATGACTAACATTATTATCTCCATATTAGGTATGGAACCCGGCGTTGTCACTCGACCATTAGGTACATATACTCATTTGTAATGGAATGAAATTGGACCCGGAAATATCCCTCTACGTCACTACGAGATTACATTTCCCACTCCTTGGATCGACTATACTGCTTCCGGCACCAATACCGCATCAAGTCATTCTCGCACCAAACCCACCGTCACAATCCCAGCCATTAAAGAAAATAGCTCTTTGGTGAGCTCGAATTATTAATACATATTTCATACTTATTTGCAATATGCATGTTAAGTGAAACCCGAGTTTATGAATGAATGTGAGACATTATGCAATTTTCCAGGCTAATATGTAAACAATTGTCCTTATGAACTGAACAATGAATTTAAAGTTCAAACGTATTAAATGGTGATTAGGTGTGTACGATTCGTGATGGAACACATAAATCACGGAAAGGGTCATTAACATATCGGAAACAGGATACATATAAGATGGATACTGATAAATGCCAACAACAGTTATATAACACTACCACTTCAGCTGATAATATGGATATAACCATACATGTAGTTCAAACTTTATCTGCTGGTTTTGAATGAATGCGTTAATAAGATAAAAACAAAAATTTCAAAATACAGAATACTCAGACCTGTAACACTTGAATAACAGAAAAACATCAAAGCCAAAAAATTAAAATAAAAAGGACTCTGTATCCTGCCATCAGCTTTTGCACCATTGGATTTTTAAGCAGGAAGTTCCTAGAATTATCAAAGTCCTAAACAGCTAAAGTACAATGTCATTCAGTGCCTGGAACACAAAATGAATCGAAATAACAAATAGGAATAAATCACAATGACACGGACTGGTCATACTCACATCCTGTAATTAAAAAATAACTTCTGTAATGTCATGATAGAACAGTTGTAAGGATAATGATAATAAGCAGGTGTCACAATTTTGAGTTGTACATAATAAATCAGATTTGTATTTCGCTATACATGTACCTTATATGTCGAAACACGTTCTGTTTTTGGAAATATGACCACACGCGGTGTGTTACCTCTAAATGGTACATTTGATAAAACGTCTTGTCGTTTTAGGATTTGACCAGTTCCTATCAGGCCGCGATGCTAACTAATGAGGAAATACGAACACCCAGGAGAAATTTAGATAATTTGCCGGTTGTATCTATAATTGTACCTGTATTTGTTCAGTATAGTGATTAGAACACGGCCTCTAGACATATCACTGCGTAACTGTCAGGTTAGTGATCGGTCAGTTTTAGTATTTGTGTGACGAGCTTGAAAACATTATTTTTTAATTATATGAAATACAACAAAGGTGAAGCATAACATTGTTTATTAATACATAGTTTTGAAAAAAAAAATATAACGAATAAACAAAGTGAAAACATCGATCAAAAATTCAAATAATTTCGCAAAGCTAGTAATGCTTTGTGAAAGCATTCCTCAATACTTATTACTACTAATCTATTTAATCATATTTTGTTAAGCTGTGTCAGTTTTCCCCTTCTGTTCAAATTGTCCAGTTCCTGTCGTGGTTCCGACATTGATTCATCAGGCTCTGTTTCTGTAACCTTGCTGCTACTGCCAGCTCACTTCCCTGCGTTTTGACGCTTAGCCGTTAAAAACGGTATTGATGACATTTTACGAGTCTCTGTGTCCATATCTGTGCTAATTGCTCAAAGATAATTGACGGATATTTTCGTCTTTACAGTATTTTTTTTATATGGTGGATAGATTTACCTAATTGTGATTTATGCAATAGATGCTGTTTTTTTTTTTTGTATAGTGTGATTGTAATTCATAGAATTCCACTTTTCCCTACTAGGGTTTTGTCATACGAGTCTTCTTCATAGTTTTTTTCAAATTACCTTCCATCCTAAAAATTGCACCGAAAAATATAATAGCAATAAGAAAATATAATAAAATAAGGATATAAATAAATTGTGTAAAGATATTATATGTTATATGCAAATCATTGTAGCTTTACAAATAAGAACATATTATGAACAATGCAATCATTTTAGTAATTTGTATATCTATATAGGTTTACCTCTGTGTTACACACATGGTTTTGATTTGTAACTTCTAACTATTTTTGAATTCATTTTACAAAAGTCAAAAATATAGGCTTTAAATAGGGAAAAGTAAACCTTAGCTAATCTCCTTAAAAAAAGAAATCATAACAGTCAGCAGGAAAGGTGTATGAGCAACATCCCTATAAATGAAGTAAGTTTTCACAATCATCTCAGTGTCTACATATCTGACAATGGTGCATGGAAATACCATATCCAGTACATTATTGAGATGATATCATCTGCTAGGAATTGTCTCTTAATCGTCAGTCACCCGAAACCTTATACTTTTCGTTTATTCGCCCAGTCATAGAACATGTTGACCGTGTATGGGATAATCGTACAGTTTCCCAAGTAAATATCGTAGAAAGTCTAAATTTAGAGTCCGCAAGTAGTTGACAGGAGAAACAAAACTTACGAGTGGATTTATGCTATATCGGGAAACGGGATCGGAAACCCTTGTCAAAAGACGCAAAATCCATTGAGCAGTCCAATTTCATGAAATGGTTCAAGGAATGGTTCCTCCATACTTACAAGATATATATCCTCTCAAATAGAAATGTTGATGTACATATTCATGCTTACAGAGACGTAGACAACGTTCGTCCAAGGTTTTGTCGCACTACTTTGATTCGATATTCGTTCCTCCCGTCCGTCCTAAATGTTGGAATTCTCTTCCTCCCGACCTTAAAGCAGATCCACCGTCGCGTGAGCTTAAGGAACAGGTATATGACCAGTCTAATATAGTTCCATCATGTTTCTGAAGTGGAAGTAGATATGATCAGATTCACAATGCGAGGCTCACAATGGAATGTAGCTCTCTGAATAGTTATCTTTACTCAAGAGCCTTGATGCATCTTGTACATGCGGTTAACAAAAGCAACAAACTTCGACTACCTATTGCGTATTACCTGCATGATAACATCTTCTTAATTATCTTCAACCCGATTATACATTTGGAGATGGTATCTCCTTTTTGCAGAAAATTATGAACTTTTCACCTGTGTTCAACCATTAGCCATAGCTACAAAAAAGTTTTATTCCTACCTTTTACATCTCTTATTTAAGCATTGAAAGCGCGCAATATGTTGTTTGCTTGCAAAGCTGTGTCATTCAAATAGATCATAAATACCATACAAAAACAGTTCAATACTTATATTTACGTTTTCTCTGCCTCTTATGTTCTTTTTTAACTTATAATTTATATTTAAATTCTGCCTTATCGACAGTCCACAAAATTTCGTTCAATAGTTTGAACAGTGTGTTTGTCGCGTGCTGATTGGCAAACATTTTTTTTTAACAAATACTTCAATGTTATTCCACAATTCAGTACAAATACAATTGCGTATGATATCTCTATAGGGTGATTTAAGTTTATCAATAGAACTCTGAGCTGAAAGTTAGATTTGAAATTGTTTCGTTTTTCCCCCGGAACAAATTTCACGCATGGACAAATACAGTGAACACCGTAAATCCGACCTTGCCCTCCACGAGGGAGTTACTTTTGGAAGTTAATTCGAACTTTTCTCTTTGCTCATTTTCTGAGGAATCCAGGCGTGAATTTATTTGTTGATTGTATGGGAACCTAACACCAGTCATCCTCGTTATTTGACATGTCGACAGAAACTGAGGAACCTTGGATGCGAGACGCGTGAAACTGATAGCGTTTGAAGTGAGTGATCTTGTGACGGAGCACAGGTTCGTTACAAATGTCTGAAACGTTAGTGTGCTGTGACTCATATCAGTAGGTCTGTAACATATGTGTCAGTAGGTCCGTTGAATATGTGTATTTCAGACATTTGTAACGAACCCCTGTTGATCAGTGCAGTGTAACAGACGATAATTCTGATAAATTGCATGAGCGTTAAAATTGTTTCCATTGCCGGCATTGATGATTTTAACCGATGTGCATTTTGTACGTATTGCAAACCTTGGTCTTGTTTTCGTTGTAATAAAATTGTTTTACATTTTATTTTTTATTTTGCACATAAATTTACAATGACATTGTCAAATCTCACAATGCCCAGCGATATTTCAGCAGCCGTCATGTTTATTTATATTGGATATTGTAGTTCCGGTCAGTGTTGTATTAATACGCTAAGAATTGTGTCTCGTGATGCATGGTAATTAAAGTCCCATCAACGACACAGCTTTCAAAGAGGCTTTATAGTGACAATGCCATGCACATGTAAATATAATGCCATAACACACAATTAAAGTACACGAGTAGTTTTTGAAAATGCTTTATAATATGATTTGTGAATATGATGTGTTTAAATATGAATGAGTATATCTGTATTCTGTTCTTGAAAATGTTGCATGATATAATTTGTAAATTTCAACAAATTCAACAATTTATCAAAGCTACAAAAGTGGATACATATAAGCTCTATGCTCTACGCTTGTTTCCATAACCTGTTTCTGTTTGTACACTTGTGAATTTGCTCAAATTGTGTGTGAAATACAAGAAACGAACTAAAGTTCGATACATATACAGTACATATATACACCGTGGAAGTCGGTCGCTATGACAATATAGCAGTGGTATAGTGTAGGTGTGGAGTAGTACGTACTAAAGTGCAAGTCGGTCGAGTACATCATTTTACAAGTTAAAATTGAAGTGATAAATATAAGATAAGTCACTGTTATAAACAAGTTAGTCTGTGATGATCACTGTGTTATACCCACCTGCCTTCTAACATTTTTCTGATATAGCATGACAAATTGACTTGGTGTAGTATATTTCTCATTATCAAATTACTGAGAGCGACAGACAGGTTCAAAGTCTGTCGGGTTGTGTGGCAGGTAAATATTTAGCAAGTTAGCCTGATAATTGACTGACTATTAATAAGCTAATTAATGTGATCGAATCTTGACTACAACGCCGACTTCAATCACCTTAAAATCAATAATAACCATAAATCATGTGATAGTTATTTACTCATTACCAGACACATGCGATCATTTCATTCATCATATTTCTAAATGAACACATGACAATCGTCCTTCCAGCTTCGCTAAACATACATAGTACAATCAAACACCATCATAGAAATATTTTTCCGTATTGTCTACAAGCAAAAACGTTAACTGTTTTGAGATAAAACTTTAAATTGAGCCAATATTATAACTTAAAATATTAACATTTAGGAGTTTGATTCATACAGCTATATCTGTTTTTATGATGCTTATCACTCATGCCTTTAGCTTCATGACCTTTAACATCAATCTATATAAGTTTATATGTAGCTTGATGAAAAGACCCGAATAGCATGAATATAACGTTAAATGTTCTTAACGACCTATCACGTGATTCCCTTGTGTATGACTGACGTCAATGTGTCTAATTTTTGTCGTTAGGAGAAGTATATCATGTATCACACGGGAATGATTGTCTTATTAGCACCACGCTTAAACACAACAATGTAGACTCGACTGTAGATAGGATTGCCTTTTTAGAAGTTTTTTATTTGCAAGAAATTTTTTAATTGACATGAATCATCACGTTACTGCTCCTGATTCCTTTTTAGTGATTCTTCGCTTCATTTTGTATAAGAAGTTATAATATAAGATGTCGGTTTTCATTAAGAATATATGATTTACATAAGTTAAAACCTTGTTATATTAACATTAAGAAACCGGCATTTGCAGAAAATAACTATATAATAGTATGGGAAGCATGATCAGAAATATTTCTAAATATCAATTTGTTGTTATTGTAAATTGCATCCAGAATCACCAAATGTAAATCACTTGGCCTGATAACTACTCGACCACACAGCATAGGTTAATATATGCATACGAATTAGACAACCGTTTCCCCCTAAGTTTACACAAAATGAGCTACATGTGTTCCACAGACGCCTGATTATGCCGTTGGAAGTTTCTTTTACATAGACATGGATTGGTACTTTACACTGGTTCGTTTGATGAAACGGTGACCGCGCTTTAAGATGGTAATGAACGTTGCAAACAGCATCTCAATTTAAAAGAAATAGATTAAAGGACCACGGCTGCAATCAGAGGATCACAGTGACGGCCTTAGTTGGTAACCTCGGTGTAATTATTAGCAAGATCTGAATAGCATGGTTTTTTTCTCTCTTTCAAAAAACCCCCAACCTAACAACAACGTCTTAATTAAAGCTCTGGGGAACTGTTATCCAGCTTCAGGACACGTTTTTGTAGCAATGGAACATTTATATTTCCAACAGTCCCACAATATAACGCGTTGCCAATTCTTCATAGTTTACTATTTTCAACATTGACATATTTAAAAAACAAATTAAAACTCAAACAGAATTAAATAAAGCAAGAGAGTAAGGAAGTGGGAAAAGAACAGAGTAAGGAAGTGAGAAAAGAACAGAGTAAGGAAGTGAGGAAAGCACAGAGTAAGGAAGTGAGGAAAGCACAGAGTAAGGAAGTGAGGAAAGCACAGAGTAAGGAAGTGAGGAAAGCACAGAGTAAGGAAGTGAGGAAAGCACAGAGTAAGGAAGTGAGGAAAGCACAGAGTAAGGAAGTGAGATGAGAACAGAGTAAGGAAGTGAGGTGAGAACAGAGTAAGGAAGTGAGAGAAGAAAAAATTAAGGAAGTGAGAAAAGAATAGAGAAAGGAATTGAGAAAACACGGAGAAAGGAAGTGAGAAATGAACAGAGTAAGGAAGTGAGAGAAGAATAGAGTAAGGAAGTGAGAGAAGAATAGAGTAAGGAATTGAGAGAATAACAGAGTAAGGAAGTGAGAAAAGAACAGAGTAAGGAAGTGAGGAAAGAACAGAGTAAGGAAGTGAGGAAAGAACAGAGTAAGGAAGTGAGAAAAGAACAGAGTAAGGAAAGGATAAAAGAGCAGACTAAGGAATTGAGTGAAAAACAGAGTAAGGAAAGGATAAAAGAGCAGAGTAAGTAAGTGAGAGAAGTACTGAGTAAGGTAGTGCGAGAAGAACAAAGTAAGAAAGTGAGATGAGAACAGAGTTAGGAAGTGAGAAAAGAACAGAGTAAGGAAGTGCGAAAAGAACAAAGTAAGAAATTGAGATGAGAACAGAGTTAGGAATGAGAAAAGAACAGAGTAAGGAAGTGAGATGAGAACAGAATTAGAAAGTGAGAAAAGAACAAAGTAAGGAAGTGAGAAAAGAACAGAGTAAGGAAAGGAGAAAAGAACAAAGTAAGGAAGTGAGGAAAGAACAGAGTAAGGAAGTGAGATGAGAACAGAGTAAGGAAGTGAGATGAGAACAGGGTAAGGAAGTGAGAGAAGAACAAATTAAGGAAGTGAGAAAAGAATAGAGAAAGGAAGTGAGAAAACACGGAGAAAGGAAGTGAGAAAAGAACAGAGTAAGGAAGTGGGGAAAGAACAGAGTAAGGAAGTGAGGAAAGAACAGAGTAAGGAAGTGAGAAAAGAACAGAGTAAGGAAAGGATAAAAGAGCAGACTAAGGAAATGAGAGAAGAACAGAGTAAGAAAAGGATAAAAGAGCAGAGTAAGGAAGTGAGAGAAGTACTGAGTAAGGAAGTGCGAAAAGAACAAAGTAAGAAAGTGAGATGAGGGCAGTGTTAGGAAGTGAGAAAAGAACAGAGTAAGGAAGTGAGAAAGGAACAGAGTAAGGAAGTGAGGAAAGAACAGAGTAATGAAGTGCGAAAAGAACAAAGTAAGAAAGTGAGATGAGAACAGAGTTAGGAAGTGAGAAAAGAACAGAGTAAGAAAGTGAGAAAAGAACAGAGTTAGGAAGAGAGAGATGAACAGAGCTAGGAAGTGAGAAAAGAACAGAGTAAGGAAGTGAGATGAGAACAGAGTAAGAAAGTGAGATGAGAACAGAGTAAGGAAGAGAGAGATGAACAGAGCTAGGAAGTGAGAAAAGAACAGAGTAAGGAAGTGAGATGAGAACAGAGTAAGGAAGTGAGAGAAGAACTTAGTAAGGAAGTGAGAGAAGAATAGAGTAAGGAAGTGAGGGAAGAACAGAGTAAGAACGTGAGAAAAGAACAGAGTAAGGAAGAGAGAAAAGAACAAAGTAAGAAAGTGAGATGAGAACAGAGTTAGGAAGTGGTAAAGAACAGAGTAAGGAAGGGAGATGAGAACAGAGTAAGAAAGTGAGAAAAGAACAAGGTAAGGAAGAGAGAAAAGAACATAGTAAAGAAGTGAGAAAAGAACAGAGTAAGGAAGTGGGGAAAGAACAGAGTAAGGAAGTGAGGAAAGAACAGAGTAAGGAAGTGCGAAAAGAACAAAGTAAGAAATTGAGATGAGAACAGAGTTAGGAATGAGAAAAGAACAGAGTAAGGAAGTGAGAAAAGAACAGAGTTAGAAAGTGAGAAAAGAACTGAGTAAGGAAGTGAGAGAAGAATAGAGTAAGGAAGTGAGGGAAGAACAGAGTAAGAACGTGAGAAAAGAACAAAGGAAGGAAGAGAGAAAAGAACAAAGTAAGAAAGTGAGATGAGAACAGAGTTAGGAAGTGGTAAAGAACAGAGTAAGGAAGGGAGATGAGAACAGAGTAAGGAAGTGAGAGAAGAACTTAGTAAGGAAGTGAGAGAAGAATAAAGTAAGGAAGTGAGGGAAGAACAGAGTAAAAAAGTGAGAAAAGAACAAAGTAAGGAAGAGAGAAAAGAACAGAGTAAAGAAGTGAGAAAAGAACAGAGTAAGGAAGTGAGAAAAGAACAGAGTTAGAAAGTGAGAGAAGAACAGAGTTAGGAAGTGAGAAAAGAACAGAGTAAGGAAGTGAGAAAAGAATAGAGTAAGGAAGTGAGAGAAGAATAGAGTAAGGAAATGAGAAAAGAACAAAGTAAGGAAGTGAGAAAAGAACAAAGCAAGGAAGTGAGAGAAGAATAGAGTATGGAAGTGAGAGAAGAAAAGAGTAAGGGAGTGAGATAAGAACAGAGTAAGGAAGTTAGAGAAGAATAGAGTAAGGAAGTGAGAGAAGAACAGAGTTAGAAAGTGAGATGAGAACAGAGTATGGAAGTGAGGAAAGAACAAAGTTAGAAAGTGAGAAAAAAACAGAGTAAGGAAGTGAGAGAAGAACAGAGTAAGGAAATGAGAGATGAACAGAGTTAGGAAGTGAGAAAAGAATAAAGCAATGTAGTGAGAGAAGAATAGAGTAAGGAAGTGAGAGAACAACAGAGTAAGGAAGTGAGAGAACAAAAGAGTAAGGAAGTGAGAAAAGAACAGAGTTAGAAAGTGAGAAAAGAACTGAGTAAGGAAGTGAGAGAAGAATAGAGTAAAGAAGTTAGAGAAGAAGTGAGAAACGGACAGAGTTAGAAAGTGAGAAAAGAACAAAGTAAGAAAGTGAGAAAAGAACAGAGTAAGGAAGGGAGAAATAAAAACAAATATAACAAGTGTTGTAATTGGGGCAATAAAACAGTTATGGTTTCTGCTGTGTCCCCGAATAGAAAAAATAATAATAAAAAAACAACGATTTTACCCCTCTTTAGAGAGGGTTCAAGTTAGTCGCCTCTTACTTCATGCAGTGGAAGAGCAGGTTAAATAAATCTTCCCCCAACCTGCCAGTGGCATCACATTGTGACAAATATACAATAGACAATTATGACTGTTTGAAAAGCAATCAATAATTAATTTAATTGTTACAAGCATTCAATAGTTATGCGTTCGTTCGTAATAGGTGAAGTTCGTTAGGGAAGCTGACGTCCCTGTAAACCTATAGTCATACGAATCTGTAAAACTAGTCATTGAGCCGTATGTCTGTAGTTACATCGAGCAAGATATGCAAGTGAGGCGAGACAGTTTGTAGGGACCCCAACCTGGGAATGGGGCAGCAGGTTTGTTTAGCATTTTCAGAAAAGAAAAAGAAATAACGATTATGTAAGAGACTGAGAAAAATACAAACACGAAGAGATATATTTTGTAAAAAAGATACAAGAAACACACATGTATTTTTAGCAAGGTTGATGTGTTTGGATCTTTGAAACATAAGACAGTTTATTGTTATTTTAAAATGTCATTTGTCGTACATATGAACGTTTTTTATGTCATTAGAATGCAATACAATACCAATACGATCCAAACAAATAGACGCTTACATACAATGTATATCTGCAGTTGCTTAGAAAGGAACAGCTCAATTTACTATTTATGACCTTTAACTACTATTTCTTAGCATCAACAAGTTTCTTTATATGTACTATATATCAGGGATGTGTAGTGGTCCACTACACATCCCTGTATATATATTCAATTTATGAGGGTATATTGTCTTGCTTCATGACCTCATTTAAAGCAAATGTCTTAAGTGTATGTACAAATCGGCCTTTAACAGCCCACGCTTATTTTCCGATTGATTTAAATGTCAGCGTAGGATGGTCGTTATCATATTTATTACTTACTAATATACAACATTCCTCAAGCGCTCAATCAAATATCAATAAATGTTACTCCGTAAAAGCGCTTGCCACGTGATGCCCCTTTTTACCTGCGCATGTGGGAGAGTATAAAAATGTGTGCTGGAGGTTGTTCTGATTGTTATATGTCCTTATTTCTACCGACTCATTTAAAGGGCCATACAGTACCACTGTACCATAGTACAGAAACCATCATACCAAAATTTAACTTCACTATAGGCAGATGGAGAACAAGTATAAAGTGTCTCACTTAAGTAAAACCACATCCGGTCCTTTCTTCAACTTATATCTACGACCATTTGATCAAAACATTGACAAACAACTACATTTACCTCTGCTAGTCGCCATTACAAACTAAATTGAAAATGTAATATATATATTTACCATACCGCTCCAGCTCGTAAAATCAAATAAAGCCCCAGGATATTGCAATCGTGAAATAAGTAGGTAATTTAAATACGGACTTCTAATTAATTAATATTAGTAGGGTCATTGTTATCGACTAGATACCATTTATAACATGTCGTATGTATTGACACTGGGATCGGTGGCTATACGGGTGCTTCCATTAATCAACCAATCATGTATTATTGGTGTCAGGCTGTTTACGCTCTATTGAGCTGGTTGATCTGATTCACGCGCGCGAGATGATGTATAGAATGACAGTTAAGGTAATAGGATCAATAAAAATGATACTGACATATATTAGTATTGCATTAATGTATATCAATTTAATAAATGCTGAAATTGTGTAAAATTAATTATCTATAAACGTTTAAAAATTGACATGTTGTAGTAAAACCATGTACATATATTATATAATATATAGCATATACAATAGAGATATATAATAGAGAATATACCTTCAAAGTTATACAATTTGTCTTTCATGTAATTTACATAAGATAGCACACGTAAGACGTCGTATATAATCTTACCTGTATATATATATATAGGAAAGATTTTATATAATATTACAAGAATATTATATGAAATTTCCTATGTAGTATATAAAAATACAACTTATCAGTAAACGCATACATGAAACACATGGAGGCACGTACTTAAAAGACCTTAGTGCTACTAATTGGCCGGTAATCCAATAAAACCAAACCAAATATAATCAGTTATATCACATATCGTATGATCTGTTTTTGGTGTATCATGTCCTATATGATATAGCATGTACGCTACATAACATATCTCATATACATCTCATATATATACTAACACATGTTGATGGCTTTTCCATGGATACCGCCGTAATTGTTCGAGAACGTGAGAATAAGATTGGCCTGGTAGACACTACTGCATGATTTAATGTTTGATATGACCATACAGACACCGTCGTATTCCGAAGTTTTCTTCTATATCATTCACTTAGAAGATATGTATGACACCAAATGTGATCTGATGTACCAATTGCAATATCTGTCATGTATTTTTGTCTTTCTTTTATTTACACTGCGTTTTGCTTCCCCTTGATAACTGCTGTTACCCACTCCATGATTCGTAGGAAGGAGCCTGTGTCGGGAAACCCCTGCAGAATTGAAGATTTGCTTTTGTTCCCTCTTTTTTGGACAAATAAATCTAATGCATTCTTCGCAACGATTACGATCTTTATATTTTTCTTGAAAGTTGTCTCACTTGGTAATGCCTTCCTTGAAGCTTCAGTGTTGAGTGCGTTGAAAGTCATGGGTTCAAATCAAAGTCCATGAAAGTGATACGTGCTGATTTCTAGTTGACGTTCAGTCTGAAGTCAGCATCGCAAGGACTTGTTTTCCTGTTGTCAGTATAATATGATCCGACGGAACGATATGCTGTTTGTCTTTGGCATGGCATTTTGCTGAGGTGGCACTCTAAAGGAGGAATAAAAAACGAATTAAAACAAACACCGAAAGACATTATATTTATATGAAGAAAAATACTAAGAAGACCTACAATGTACACATTATATTAAATGTACTAAACATTTGGTATTCTGTTGAAATTTCGATTTCTGAACTACACCGTTGATTTTGTCAACGAAGCACAAGAAAATAAATAGCCCTACAGTATTAAGGTCATAGGAGTGTATTGATAAACGGAAAAAGGAAGTGCATCCCTAGTTGAAAATCCAATGTAGGGAGACAGTATCACAATTTTCGCATATTCTAATGTTCAATATTAAACTGATAAATATTGCATGTTTATTATTGACAG